CAAAAAGCAGGTAAAGCACTTAGCATGGACTGCTCTTCAGAAGTTCAAAACTGAAGACGAGGAAGTTTCTTAGTATGTGTGTTCATTTTGGATGGGGATGATTGAGCATGTTTTTTTCTGAACAGAAAACGCCAGCTGTGTAGACTCAGTAGATGAAAGGGAGGTGAAAACTGATGGAGCAAGGTCTTGAAGGCAACAGGAGGGAATAGAAACAAGGCCACAAGCCAGGAACAACCCTAGAAGAGAGTAGAGTCTTTAATTTTTCCTAAACACTTGCTCTTTCCAAATGTTTTCCTTCACTTGGAAGTTGCTGCCTGCTCCCAAGCTGGGACTATGGGCACACGCTGCCATGCCTGGCTAATTTTTTGTATTTTAGTAGAGACGAGATTTCATCGTGTGCATCTTTTCCAGACTGTAGCTTCCTTAGAACTGTATTTTTCTTCTCATTGCCTTTTCCTGTGTTCTGATGTCTGCATTTAAGTCCATGTAGAGTCTTCTCTAGAAGGCAGAAAGCCTTTTTTCTAATCTTCTCTTCCTAGCTTTTTCTAGTAATATTTGTAAGGCACCTGGTGTAAACATACTGGCCTGTGGGCTCAGCAGCCTCCATGTAGGGCTGTTTGTATTTACTGAGCAGGAATATTGTTATAGCCATTCACCATTGATGCCTAGCGGCCAGAAGGGAGTTGCTAGAGAGTTTACACTTCAGATATGTAAAATGGCAGGGACATAGGAGAATCATGGGAGATTCATCCCCCTATTGATGGCTTTTCATTCTGCAATTTTGACTAAAATTTGTTCGTTTTTCTTTGAACCCAGGTCGTAAAGGTATCTTCACTGGAAGCTCGGGGCTGCAGATTGTGTACCTCAGTGGCACAGAGTCCTTAAATGAGCCAGTACCAGGTTATAATTTTAGTGTCAAGGATGTGTCTTCTCTGAGAACGATGCTGTGTACAACCTCCCAGTTTAAGGGTGTTGATATCTTGCTCACATCCCCGTGGCCCAAGTATGTGGGGAACTTTGGGAATTCTTCTGTGAGTAGTACTTGTTCAGTTGGAATTTCTAAAAGCAAATTGCACTGGCTTGAGTTGGGCCTTTTTTCTTTTCCTGTTTATATTGAGTATTTTAGCTCTTGGGTACTTTTATTAGAAGTCTTTTGTGAAAATTTTCAGGATTCTAAAAGCTATATCAACTGACCAAAGCAAAAGTTAATTTCATGAAAGTGTGCTTCATAGATGAGACTGCTGAAATCTTAGTTATAAAGAAATTTTTTTAATACTCTCTGCTTCAAGTGCCCTTTCCTAAGCCTCTTAATGTTTTGAGGCTTCACTGATAATTTTTTTTTTTTTTTTT